TTTTCTTTTCTTGTGTTGGGGAGTGTTCTTTTGTTACTTGTAAATAAATAGGTTTTGTTTTCCACTTTGCTCCTCCGAGAAATTCCTTCCCGAACCCGGTGTTGGGGGAGGGGTGGTTGGAGGTTTGTTTTTGTTCTGGGGGGCTCCCTCTTGGAGATTTCCCCTAATTTGTCCTAAACCAGGACACCATCCAATGATACAACTTCCTAACGAACGCAAAAGGGAAAGGAAAATGTCAGTTACCTCTCTCATATGTACAGAGGGAACATTAAAATAACTGTTTCAGATAACCAGGTGAGGAAAATTCATAAAGATAATTCAGGGACTCATAAAGAAAAGTAGGTTTTTCAGTAAAGAATTGGCAAAAGACTAATTTCAAGAATTTGGGTTAGAATTCTACAAACCTGACCTGGTCATTTTATGTTTAAGAAGTGCCTGAGGTGCATTTTACTGAATATGCCTTCCCTTCATGACATTGACTAAACTAGATGAGAATCACTGATATGACATACTGGGTTTGACACATTGGCCTGGTTTTGGTAGCAAGGGTCTACAGGGTGGCATGGCAAAAGAGACCCCTCCCTAAGCAAACTGAAGATTTTTAGAGGTGACAAACTCTAAAACTAAAACTCCATGTTTAGTCTCTCTTTGCTGTTGGTGGGAAGGAAAGAAGGGTTGGGGGAGGGCACGAAAGGTGTTCTAAAGGTTTTTGTTCTCATTAACCTCTTTTAATTCTGTTAATTTTTTCTTTATTTCTTTTAAAGTTTTGACTCTGTTTTGCCTTTAGAGTGTTTATTCCTAATCCTTATCTCACCCCGCGAGCCTTTTAACTTCTTTTTCTTTCCCCCTCCTCTGCTCAACTATAGCAGAGAAGCATGAGTGAATGATTTTTCATGGGTGCACTGGCATTTGGCCAGTGTCAAAATTGCAACATTTTTGGTGAAGAATGTAGGCAAACATGAGGACTTTGAGATAATGACATTAATTGGGAGAAATAACAGACAAAACAAGTATTAAATCACAAAATGAGGTAGAATGATAGTAGGAAATTTGTATTGTAGTTATAATGAAAATCTAGGGGTAGATTTTTTGTGCAATTTGTCTTTTTGGTTCTGTGTAATGACTGTACCTTAGATTAAGTGTAGCAATTTTTTTCTTCTGTTTAGTTTAGTAGTTTTTTGTTGTTCTAGCTAAGTGTTATATGTTGAGTGTAATTTTGATCATAATTCTTAAATATTCATAGAAGCCAGGGGTGGAATTATCCTGCTCTGATTATGGTAGTAATAAATTCAATTAATATGTCTAAGCTGAGCCTGTTTTGTTCGTGACAGTATTTGATGAATGATCCCTCCTGGGCCTTATCTCAATCCAGCCAAAAAAAGCTCACCAAGAAGCTGAATAGACACCCCAACTGTCTTCACATTGTTTCCCCCCCACTTTGTTATATCCACAAATGAATCTTGAGTATGCCTGTGAAATACAGATGATAAAAAACACAAGTAAACCTTGTCTAAGAAAAATTCTCCTTAAGAACCCCCTTGTCAATATATTTTGAAATGTTTTTCTTTTCCATATTTTTTTCATGTACCTTGGACTTAAAACCTACAGAGAACACAATTCTAGTAATTCCAAATTCATTATTACCCATATGTCTTAAGACTCTTCCTGTTCTACATATTAAAGTGTGCATAATATTTTTGGTTTGGTTCAGTTTCTTCCAGTTGATTCTTCCTTGTGCTAAGATCCAAGATCAGGGTTTCATTTGGATACTCACATTTATTTGTATCTTACTGTGTATCTCATTTATTTGTATTTTATGAACATCTTATGGTTGATGTCTCACTTCATCAACCATATATAGCTATCTGTTTTTTTTAACCTTTTCCAAAACTTCTTGTAAAACTGAAGCTAGATCTTGACAACAAAACTTGCAAGAATCATGCAGAATCTGTCCGCCCTTCTTGAATGTATTTGGTTTCTTGAAACATTTACTCTGAAACATTCTGATTTAAGCAAAAACATCCTGTAACATACACCTGTGCACACACATACACTGTCCCTGGTACTTATCAGCCTCAATCGTGTACTTACTTTCAGAGTGTGCAGGGTGCTGGTCCATTCCATGGAGCCTATCTGAGGTATGGCAGAAAGGAGTATGCTTGTAGCCTTATTTGCATTCCCTTTCAGTGTCTTTAAAACTTTATCCACTGAAACCTAGAAATACAATACAACTGAGTGGTGTGTCTCCATTTTGATGGCACACATTTTAAACACACAAATAAATTTAACTCAGAAATGTAAAAGTGAAGCTTTAGAATATCAGTCTTTTTAGATAGTGCAAATGATTTTTCCTCTGTATGTTTATGGTTTATAGTTGTGTATTGTCAACAAATACAAATAAAGCATACACATTGTTTTGTACAGAGTTGCAAAAGTAAAATCACCAGACCAATCACAGCCACAAAGAAGACAAGGCACACAGAATTCATGAGCTTCATACTTACATACCCCCTGATTGAGACAATAGGAAACAAAAGGTTTGCTAGTAGTGAGGCAGGTTCATGAAAATGAATGTAATAGCAACAACTGACTCTATTTTTACTTTCACAATAATTCATCAAGAATAACTCAAGGATTCTAACATAATTAAGGACAGATTTAGTATAGTATGTCACCTCTGATCAAAATCTACACATTCTCATTCAAATTCCTCAGGTCAACACCAGAGGAAAAAAGTTTCACTCACAGCTTCTTCATGCTCCTTCCAGCAGTCATAATCTGTTGCCATGGCAATACTAGCATAACTCATTCCAGCTTCCTTTGCAAGAATCACTTCAGGCACTGTAGTCATGTTGATAACATCGGCTCCCCAACTGCGAAAAACACAGCTTTCTGCTCGAGAGCTAAAACGTGGGCCTTCAATTGTGATCATTGTCCCCTTGGAGTGACACTGGAGGCCCAGCTTCTTGGCAGTCTCAATAAGAACCTGCAAAACATGCCAATGTTGAAGAAAGGAAATAACTCCCTTCACGCACTGCCTTTGCATTCCATCACAAACTTGCACAGAAAAGAAGTTAACTTTATACAGAGTTACAGCTGTCCAAAACCAAAGATGAGTTTTGCTTTCCTCACCCAACAAGAAAAATTAATAGTCCTACCAACAGGGATTAACTTGAACTCATCTGATTTTATTAGTATCAATTGGATTACTGCTTTCAATGCAGACCAAGAAGACTGGGAAACAGAATTTTTTATACATTTAGATTGTGCCTACATTGCAGACAGAACTGCAGGTAAAAAGCATTCTACTGAGCACTACGTTATCACATGGTGGAGACAGTGAAAACAGTAGTAAGAAATTTATATTTTGAAAGTAAGACTTTACAAGCACATAATTCAAAGAGTACCCTGGGAATCTGTACAGAAATTATTACCATGTTTTCCCCCTCCAGTGGCAGAGCTGCAGACTGGACATATAGCATGTAGTCTGTTAGGGGTTAGGTTTCCTTCCTTTTCCTCCTTTTTTACTTACACAATTTTCCCCATAAGTTGCTAGGAAACTGTAACGATTGAGTACTTAAGGAAAAAACAGGGTGCTGAAGAAAAACAAAAGAACAGGCTCAGGGGAGTGGAGCAGGTAAAGCAGGGCTGGGGTAGCTGCTAGCTCTCCTGCTCTGCGACTTTACTCTGTAGCTTCAGAGCAGGATGGTCCGAACTGCTGCTTCGGGAAGGCAATTCGCTGCTGACGCCAGAGCCCAGCTCGGTCCTGCTTCTTCTGCTGTGGGCTCGATGCTCCTGAGAGTCCCGCTGGGCCCCGGGATCGGTGCCATGGGGTTTGTGGAGCGAGGCCTCTGCCCCATCACTGCCCGTCCGGGCCGAGCCGCCATCGCCACAGCGCCCCCTGCAGGCGCGGGGGAGGCACCGCCCCCGCCCCGTCCCCGGGAGCAGCAGCGCCCCTGCCGGCCGAGCCCGGAACTGCAGCAGAGGGAAAGCGCCGCGGCCGAGCAGGCCGGGACTGGGCCCTGTTTGTGTTAATGCTGTAGTCATTGTTGTTTGTTTGCTTTATTACCCACCAGTAATGAACTGTAATTCCTATTCCCATTTCTTTCACCTGAGAGCCCCTTATTCTCAAAATTATAATAATTCAAAGGGAAAGGGTTTACATTCTCCATTCCAAGGGAGGCTCCTGCCTTCCCTAGTAGACATCTGCCTTTCAAAACAAGTCAACCTCCCATCAGCTTTTTTAGTTCTAACAAGGCCCTCATATATGGCAGAATAATCCTGACTTTCTCTCTCGGTAATCAGCCTGGATAATGCCAGTTGATACAGTTAGAATAAGAGGATACTGGCCTAGATACATGGGACTAGGAAGCCAATCACTGTCTGAGCAGGAAAGTGAGAGGAACTATGATGCCATCTATTTAAAATGCCACCAAAAAAAAAAGTAAAATATAGAAAAGAAAGCAAAAGCACTTCCAAAAATTGTGGTAGGCCAGGAGAGCCCTTCATAACACAGCAGCAGTGAAAAACCTAGTCTGACACCACTAGATGCAACTTGGCATCATGACTGTGGAGCAGCTTCCCCGCAAAACATTTTGAGAACCTTCATTCAAAACAAACAGATGCAACAAGCAACAAGAGCTCCAGTGTGTTACATGACCCTGTGGGGTGCCTCGTCCCTGGCAAGTGGATCAGTAGATTGCATAGAGCAGTGATTTTATGGAGCAGCACAACAAAATAAAGCTGGACCACCTGCATCTGCCACTGCAGATGTGTGTAAACAGGTAAGTCTCCACTGTACCTGGGTGGCAATACGTGACACACGTGCAACTTGGATGAAGTGATTGAGAGCAGTCCTGCTGAGAAGGACTTGAGGGTGATGGCTGATGAAAAACTCAACATGACCCAGCCATGAGCACTCTAGAGACCAGAAAGGCAATAGGATCCTGGGCTGCATCCAGAGCAGTGTGGACAGCAGGGTGATGGAGAGGATTCTGCTCCTCTGCTCTGCTCCAGTAGCTGATCCTACTGGAACATTGCATCCAGCTCTGGGGTCCTTACTGTAAGAAAGACTTGGAACTGTTTAAACAAATTCAGAGGAGGGTCTCGAAATGGTAAGAGCAGTGGAACACCTCCCCTATGAAGACAGGCTGAGAAATTTGGGCCTGGAGAAGAGAAGGCTGTGGGGAAACCTCATAGCAACCTTCCAGTATCTGAAGGGTTCTACAGGGAGGTGGAGAGGGACTCCTTGTCAGGAACTGTAGTGATAAGACAAGGATAACAGCCACAAGCTGAAAGAGGGGAAATTCAGATTAGATTTCAGGAAGACATTTTTTAATGTGACAGTGGTGAGACACTGGGACAGGTTGCCCAAGGAGGCTGTGGATGCCGCAATACTGGGAATGTTCAAGCATGGTTGGATAAGGCCTTAAGAAACTTGTTCTAGTGGAAGGTACCCCTGCACATGGCAGTGGCAGCTAGAGCTACATAATCTTCAAGGTCCTTTACAACCCCTTAATAGTCTGTGAATCATTCTGTGCTGTAAGTTGATCTAGTAATAATCACACCTAATATTTAGATTTATTGACGCTATTAATTCTGAAGATATGAATTCTAAATATATTAGAAGAACGCTAGTTAATTACATTGTTAATAAACCAACTGACCAACTGATATGACATAACCACAGGTGAGCCACAGTATCTTTCTGAAACTCTTTAAGAAGTTCCAACTTTACTGCCTATAGGATGTTGTACTGAGCCTCAGTTTCTAAAAGCAGCAATACCCAAAATACCCTATATTATTCAAAACTTCTGAGAGAAAAAGGTAAAACTCCATTTAGATTCTCATTTAACTTACAGTGCATAAACCAACTAAACCAGATAATTTTAATGTACTTGCATAAATGCAACATATGAAGGTTTCAGATATTTTGCTGCAAAATTCCTTAAACATATTACATTCATTATTTTGGCTTTTTTATTATTACTGCACTTACCTATGAAATTCCTTTGAACTGGGATAAACTGGGCTGAAATTATCTCAACAATTTGCAGACACAGTTTCAGGAAAAAATTTACATCACTTTTATCTGATATTTTCTAATGAAGTGAAAATACTCCTTCTCAGTCTCACAAAGAGCTCAAACCCACATGTTCTTTAAAGCATCTCTCAGGCTGATCAGAATGCACAAACTAACGAGATAATGATCACATGTGAGACTGGGAAGTACCTAAATGTTTTTTCTCAGTTTGAAAAGGCACATTTCTTTGCTGGCTTTTCAAAAAATGAAAAACCCAAATAACATCTCTAGCTAGTTAACAACTGAAAGAAAACTGCTTCCTGCAGTCTCAGGAAATGTCTTATGTATGAGTGCTTGCTTTTTTAAAAAAAGGACAATGTGAAGTACTGCCAATCACCAAAGTAATAACACTTTTTAATCCATTTCTTAATAAACTCCTTGCATCTGCTGTGATATGACATCATGCTTGCAGTAGAAAGCAACTAAATACCAACTAATCTTTGCTAAGAGCATGTAGCTAGGCTCTTTTTGCAAGAAAAATGCAAAGTATTTTGCATAATTTGCTGCTCATTGAAAGAAGGGCAAAAACATGCACATGTATAATATGCAGTGCTTTGTTTCTTCATGAGACTTAGAATATCTTTAGGTCATTGTAAAACACCTTGATTCCCAAAGTGGATATGTCTAAACCAGCATGGTCAATTAACAAAAAAAGCACATGACACTGAAGAGAACTGGTGACAAAAGCAGAATAGCTCAGTAGTCCAAATGTTTGTACATGCTCTGGTTATTTGTGCCACCTGCTTCACAATTAGCTTTGTCTTGATTGCAGACAGCAGGTCTCTTAGATGACCATGACTGATTCTGCAAGTACTCGTGTTCCTCTGAAGAATGTACCTCCTTGCAGCTACTGATCAGAGCATTCCACAACACCCCAAAATACGCAGTTCAATTTCCACTTTCCTTTTTCCTCAACTCTAGGAATACACTAAGGTGACATATTTAATCAGACACACTCCTTCCAGAAGTTTATAAAGGTGCTGAAAAAAAGAGAAGTGTTTCACACTCTGTAGTCTGAAAAGTGACGCAACTGAGAGCAACAACTAAGAATAAATGGCTAATACAATTTGGCTTGTTTCAATGCTTAACATCCTAAGCCTTGACTCTCCACCACCACCCACCTCTACAATACACAAAAGTACAAATGCTAATACTGCTATTTTTGTGAATGTGAAAGCATTACTTGTTTAAATATCTGAGTATGTAGAGTGTCATTACCATAGGTTCATCTTTATTCAGAAAAAAATGGAACTAATTTCTAATTCTAACTGCTTTGTTCACTTCATTGCTTTCTTAGCTGGTTACTTGATTAAAATAAAAATCTTTTGTCCTGTTATTAAGATTGTAGGAATATATGTTGCCAACTGACTTAGGAAGACAGACACAAGATCTTTTACTTCCCATGCTTTCTAAATGTTACATTCATCCTTAATACCACGATGTATCTGAGAAACAGGATAAAGAGGTACATATTGCCTCTGCCTTCTAAGAATGCACAATTAGACTAATATATCACAAATAAGTGCCATAAAACAACATTTCTTAACACTATTACAGAATTCACTAACCTCTCTGGTTTTGGTGCAGAAAGGCTCAGCCATTGGAATATGACATACTCCTGAGAGAGTGGAATGCTGCCCATCGTATAAAGTACAATGTCTTTTAGTTGTCCTAGAAAAGCAGAAAACTTGCTTAGAGAAAACAAAAAGAGAAAGCAACAAATTGATACAAACCAAAAAACAGCATCCCTGGAAGGGGAATGAAAAAACAGGATGATATTATGACCACCTGTAATCCTGCTCTGCCTCTGTACAGACCTTTGAGAATTGAGCTGGAGACTATAAAACTGTTACTCCACTAGTCCATTGTCAATTCATTATTAAAATCTTTTGTTAACCAAGACAGTGAAACTCTGATTTGTTCCTAAATGACATAAACACCCCTACTGTGATGCGATTCTACTGCAAAACAACCAGCTAATTTATTAGTCAGGATGTAACCTCTGGGAAAACATATTAGTAATCTTTAAGAAAGGGAAGGAATAAAATCTCAACTACCACAAGGCCAGTCAAAATAGAACTTGTTTGTATCACTGCATTCCTACATCCCAAAGGACAGGAATTTACAGAAACAGCTTCTAGTATGATGGAAGTATGAATTCAACTAGAAAAAGCCTTGGAACAGGATGTTCTGAAAACCTCATTCTCAGATCACACACAACTGCAATGCCAGCTTCCAAGTAAAAGAATCCTTTTTTTCTCTTCTTTCAATGGATTGAAATGTTCAAAAATTAAAATTACAATTCAGCATGCCATTTTGGAACACATGGAACTGCTACCCACTACCACTTTACCCTCAAAAGCACTGCCTCAAGCTAATCCACCCAACTGGATGGTGCAAACCATCTGGAATAATTTTCTCAGACACTCCCTTCTTCCCTACTGTGCTTTACAGCAGAAAATAAAGACAATAGCCAAATTCAATCTGCAGTTGAAATACAAAGTATCTGCTGGTAATACTTTTTATAACAGGTCCCCAGTAAATTCACTAGGAAATATTTAAAAGAAGATTTTAAATACAATTTATATGTTAAGAGTAGGTTTGGACAAAAAAAATCCATCAAAAATGCATCAATAGGATGCATTAAGAATGCAAAGTACTGCCAACCACCAATTCTTAAGAATGAGATTATAAAACAAGAAACAGACAAATTAAAAACATCTGGAAAATGTACAGCTGTTAAAATCAGTTGAAACACTAAAATTAGTTCTTCCTTTATGGGATTCTGAAACACTGCAAATAGAATATATGCAATTTTCCCCACTTTTCTATTTTGTCTGCTAATTAATTATTCAGAGTTGGAGGAAATGGTAAAAGCCACAATCCATTTCCTGCATTATGGTATTTCAGATGCTGTTAGCCAGGCACTTTCAATCAGAAAAGCCCAAGGAAAGATTTCATATGCAGAAATATTAGTATCTGACTTTCAGATACTCTGTGTTCTTTGAAGAGAACAGCAACACCATTACATGGCTTCATAAAGAAATCCAACTATGTTTAGCATCGTTCATACAAGCTGCACGGGACTAAGCAACAACAATACGACCTATAAATGCTTTGAGCCATAGACCACCTGTGTTTCACTTAGATAATTTCTCTTCTCCATCTGTTGTAGTTTAAACCCACCTGGAAATTAAACCCCATTTAGCCCCTGTACCTGCAGCAACAGTTACACTTTTAATCTGACAATAAGGTGGCTTTTGCTCCTTCATTTTGGTTTTATCACAGTAACACAGGATTTTCTGGCAATTCTGACTGTGACTGATTCTAGGAAGCAAAATACAACCCAAGCAAATGAACAAACCAGTCATTTCCATCTGTGACAAAGAGAACCTCTATCATTTCCATCATCAACTTCATTCTTCATCCAGTAGGGTTGAATTATCAAACTACTGGTAATTAAAGAACAAAATGTAAATTCAGACTGGCATAAGCGCATGAAAAGCAATCTCAGTATGCTCTGCACCTTCAAGGACGCTGAAAGAAAATTTTACAAAAAAATTTAAAGGTGTGACAATGTTGCAGTAATTGCAGTTGCGTTTGTGACACAGAGAACTGAAACAATAAAACTGGCAGCTGTTACAAGAAGCTATTTTCTGCATCTCCCCAACTGAGTTCAGTCATTCAAGTAAGTAGTTCCTGTCTAGCTCTTCTCTTCCCAGCAAATATCAGCAGCAAACCAAACAGAAAGTATTCTAAAGCCCCAAATTAGCCTGATGTCATCAGCTGACTAACGGCACTGCAATTAACTAACAGGAGTCAAAGGTGGAAAATAATTATCCTATATTTTTAAAGTACCTTTTTAGAGAAGAGAACAGCTTTTGCAGCCTATAGTAGCAAGTGGTTATTTCTGGATTTGGAAGCAAGACGTATTTTTGTATTTATTTAATAATATGTATATTTTATTGTTTAAATACACAAAATAATAAGTATCAAGGAAGCAGAGACTATATATGGAATCAAACACTAGGTGAGGTAATGGCCTGCAGAATTAGGCTCTCAAAAGTTTGGAAATCTTACACAGTTCTAATTACACCTATTCAGTGTTTCACGCTGAAAATCAAATCTGTGCTAGGCAGAAGTTCTACACAAGCTCTTATATTGCAATCCTGTCATTAATTTCATGGTGCACATGCCCAAGGAGAGCAAATTACAGTAGCTGCCAACAGTTTTTTGCTGAGTTCTAGCTCTTCTTCAATTTCTATTCACTATTCCTTCTTTCTGCTTCACACCTATAAGGAGAACTGAGAATAGGAATTCTCCCTATTGACAATATATATATAGAGAGACAGACACTAAAAGGTATTTGGACACCAGAAGGCACTGTTTTAATGGTGGCCTGAGTAAAGCCTTGCCACCTAGACCATGACTTCCTATGTATACTGCCTGGCATGGGTTAACCACCATATAGAAGCCAGAGTACCTTTTAAGAGAAATAACTGATTGTTTCTGCAAATTTAACCAGTACCATCTTTCCAAGACTTTTAACATTGTTTGCATGACCCTGGTCTTCCATTAGAAGGTATTTCAGAAAAATTCAGTATTTTCAGACTTCGGTGGGCAACTAAAATATTCTGTTCCATGAAAATATCTTCCAATCAGTAGGACTGTTTGCATAGTGACTTATATAATGCAATCACTCTTGGACTGCTGTGAAGGACTAAATGCAGACCCGATCTGCAAAGACCTGGCAGTCTAACACCCCCTGGCAGAGAACATTATGAGAAAAAGACTTGACACAGAAATTCAGCTGTCAAAAGAGACACATTAATACAATGTATCAGTTTTCTGAATTAAACTGCATGTTGGGAATTATTTAAATATTCGTATTACACATAATTTTCCACACAGAAACATTTTCACATGCTTTTCTGAGAAGCTTTCTGGTTTCCTGATGCCATTAAACAAGTCGGAACAAGTTTCCACTTGCCCACATCAAAACAGAAACTTACTTGCCCATACAAAACACTGCTCATAAATAGGCTACACCATTACTACTGGTGACCATCTGAATAAACCTTAAATGAAAACAGAACAACTGAGGGCATAAGTAGCCTCTGGAGGTCCACATAGAATGGGTTGTCCTGGTCCATACCTAGATGGCTTTGAGTATCTCCAAGGATGGAGACTGTCACCTCTCTGGGCAACCTATGCCAGTACTCAGTCACCTTCAGTAAAAAGTGTTCACTGAGGCTCAGAGGGAATCTCCTGTGTTTCAGTCTGTTCCTACTGCCTCTGATCCTGGGTGCTGCTGGGCAGAGCTTGGCTTCTTCTATGCACCCTTCCTTCAGGTATTTCTACACATCAATGATATTCACCTTGAGTCTAGTCTTCTCCAGGCTGAACAGTCCCACTTCCTCAGTGGGAAGTCCCACTTCCTCACTTCACTCTCCTCTTAGGAGAGATGCTCCAGTCCTTTAGCATCTTTACAATCTGCTGTTGGGCTCTCTCTACAATGTCCATGTCCAAATTGCAGTGTAGAGCTCATAACTGGATACAGTACTCCAGGTGTGGTTCACCAATGGCAAACAGAGACTCCTGTCACTTACGCAGGAGTCTGCCAGGTGATAATGCAGTCAAAATAACTGGTGCTTGACTCACAATCATGCAAACCATGTCCCCAAGTCTGTTTAACATCTTTCCTACGTAAATCAGTACCAATACTAAAAAAAAAAAAAAAGTATTGTCAGCTATATATCTCATATTCACCCCTAAATTCACTCTAGTATAACAGGAAGCATTTTATGTGGGGCTTGCCCCTGCAGGCTACTTAGTAATTTAGATACACTGTACCTAAAACCTACTCTTACAAGAAAAAAAGCATTTCAGTTACACATGCAAAAAAAAAGTAGGTAAGTGAAAATTTGAATAGCACTGCAGTGCTATCCCTACTGCAGTGGGGAACAATCTAGGTCTACATGTTCAGTTGGCAATTAAATACAGCACCACAAATGCCCAATGAAGCTGCATAAGCCATTTTAAATACTTCAAACTATGTGGAATTACAAAATAAGACTTCAAGATATAATACTCCTCCAAGTATTAAAAGTAAATTTACCTTTAAAATGTGCAACCAGATCTCTGAATTATTGGTGTTGCTGGTGATCTTTAAATGTAATTTTATTTTGCCCCTAGCTTTGCTTGAATTTTTCTAGTCAATGATCAAAAAGGATAGACCAGCTGGTGTACGGAGACTTTTGGAAACAAATTTACTTCCTTATGTTTCTTAACAAATAAGATATGTAAGCATCTATTCTTGTTTTAAAACAACCTCCTCGTTTTCGCTGTTGCGCTGCATTTATCTCTCTTCTGCAGGACCTCACTATTATGACATATATTTACCTAGCTGACTCCTACTATGCTTTCTTGTACTACTCCATCTCTTTTCAGATACTTCATAAAGCTTGGAATGGCCTGTGCTTTTATTCATGTTTCTCTCCCACATCTGACAACAGAAGACATCTTTTACTTCTGAACAGTCTTCCCACAGAGCTACACTTTAGCTCATTTATGGCCATTCTTCAAAGCCTAGTACTTCTGTGTCTGTTAGAACAGAACTTCTTATAATCACATTCCCATTTCCTATCATATTTTCTTGAATGAATCTTGCTTTTTGACAGAAGAGCTGGGGCTATCATCTTATTTTACAAAAAACTTAATTTAAGATGAACATGCTATTATATGGAGTAACCCCATTTCTCCTCTTTTTCCTCCTTCTTACTCACCTGTCAATGAACTGGTCAATTATGACAAGATCACCAGGTTGTATTTCCTCTCGTAATGAGCCACAGGCAGTAGTCACCAATACATGGGAACAATTTTCTTCTTTCAATGCCCAGATATTGGCACGGTAATTGACGTTTGATGGCATAATTGTATGATGCCTTCCATGTCTGCAAAGATACACAAAGTAAGACAGTAAAATAAATCAGACTCAAATTGCCTTCCTTCTTCCAAGTAAGGAGAATTTCAGGAAACCTATTTCCCCTAACAATATTGGAAGTGGAACTGCCCATTTCTGCTACTTCTGCTATATTTTGCTTTCCTAAATGTATTGAATTTCTCCTGGAATTCAATTTAAGAAGCAGTGATATAATTTTTTTTTTATATGCAAAACTTTAAGTTCAAGATTGTGATGAAAATAACCTTAAAAATATAATTCAAATATATTTCAGCAGCCTCAAGAATAAAATGAGCATTTTTCTCTGAATCCTCTTTTCTCTGAATTTTCTCTTCAGTTCCATAGATTCTGAAACCCCTTTTCCAAACACTACAGGGAAGATTTATATGCACCTTCACGAATATTCTGCCTGTAAGCATTGCTTGTATTCTCCTACACAAAGAGCAGCACATCACAGAACATTGTGTTCTAATCTGTCATCTTTCCAAAGAAAACAGTAGAATCATCACATTTTTCTCTTTGATCTTTAAGTGATCTGACAGCTTTCATAAATTAAAAGTATGACTTCACACTGCTGCAGTATTCTTTTTCACCAAGACAGGAAATACTTGGTCTTATAAGCACAAGCTTTTGTGCTATCACTGTCTTTGCTACAGAAGCACATAATTTACATGATTAAACACATTAGAAAATTATTTTCAACCATGTAAGAGAAAAGAAGGAACTTAATTTCTCAACTGATTTTTTTCAAAGGCCAAAAAGCATTAAGAATTTGATCATTCAGGAACTACACACAACATGATGAAGCACTGTCAGTCAGGATTCCCATGTTGTCATTAGCCTTTCTGAGGCCAATGGCACACAGATCTATTGCTTTATTGCAGTTGATGTCATAATCTTCTTATGCCTTTTCTTTTCCAATCTGATTCAGAAGCCAAAACACAAAAAAAAATGTTGCAGGTACCTTAGCCCTAAAAGTAAACTCAGGAGTTTTCCATATGAATGGTCATAAATCCCAGGGAGAAGGTAAACCACAGCCAAGTTGTTCAGACATCTGTCATCCAAGGTCTAGCTTGCAACAGTACAGCAACAAGAACTTGACTTAGCAGTTCATTTGAGAAAATGAGAAAAATGTTGTCCAGGTGTAATAAAATACATGAGCAAAGTCCATGAAAGATAAGAAAAATAAAACCACAGACAGAAGTGTCACAGAGATGGCTAGCAGTCAGCAGCTTTAATGGAAAAACACTGGAATGAAAAGAATCAGGGCCCTGAGTGCACCACTGGGTCCTACGTGCCCCGGCCAGTCTCAGCCTGGGCCTCCACACAAACTGCTGATGCCTGTGAGCCTGGCTGCTCCTGCCTCCAAGCTCAGGCCCCAGTCCTCACCCCTGGCCTGAGCTACATCACAGTGTGTCAGCCCCCAGCTCAGTCTGCCCCACAGCCTTCAGACCTATCTGTACTTTGCCTCCAGAGCAGGATGGGCTTTAGACACACACTACAGCCTTGTCTCTTACCTCCTAAGATTCCTGCCTGGACTCCCTGGATGGATCCTGTGCTTGACTAATAAACTTGACTTGGCCTGCTGAGAGACGCTGTCATCAGCACCTGCTCTGACCATTCTGACCAGGTGCCATGAACTGTGTTAGTATTCTTACATTTAATTCAATAGCATGTTGGTCCCAGACATCCAAAGTTAAACCAGTGGGAAATTTCTATTCACTCATCTGCAGATCCTGCTTCCAGAGTCTCTTCAAGTATAGTAAAAATGTCTGAATAAAAATTATATAGGGAGGGAGAACTGCAGGGGATGCAGTCTCCTAAGCAATAATAGTAACAGCAATAGTAACCTCAGGGAATGATTTGGAGAGTTTACTGTGGTACCAGAGACATAGTTAATCTGGAAGCTAACATTTTCTCTATTTCACAAAGGAAATCTGCAAACATAGTGAGCAGATGAACTAATTAATAAGGTTATTAGCATCACCTATCCCCCATCAGAGCAGGTGGCCCTGCAGGCCGCCATTCTTACTGGGGTAATACCTACCACTAGATTTTTTTTACCTAACCTAGACAGCATTTTTAATACTCTCAGTCCTTGTAGCATCAAACTTGCTTAAGAAAAAACCCAAACTTGTGCTGGACTTTGCCAGCAACAATACAGAGTTAAGATCATGTCAGCATAGAAATTCAGTTCACCTAATGAAAAGAAAAAATTCTGAGAAGACTTTAAGATGTTTAATACAAACACACTTAAAATGCTCATTTACCTTGCCAAGAGCACACAGTCCACATTTTTGATCTTTCCCAAAATCAGAGCATCTGATGGCTGCAAGACAAACACATAAGAATGAGTTACTGTCTGACAAACACATTACAAACCTTTACTATCACCTAAAAATAACCACAATAGTTACAGAAGAAAATACTGGTTACCATTGTACTCTCACGTTTTCTTGAGCTCAGCCCTGTATTTTGATATGACTGGTTAGTAAAACAGCCTGGAACAGGAAGATCAAACTTGAAACAGGAAGGATTACTGTTACACAATTACACAAAAATTACACAAATTTTCTGTATTCAGACAAAAATTAACATTGCAACTCTTTACTTTAGGGCTTGAAACTGTAATACTTTCTAACATATCAAAAGAGTATTTCAAACACAAAAATAGTAGCATGCACAGGTTACCATCAAATTGGTTAGCATGACTCACTCTTTCCTGTAAACTTCAGTTTCTTTTTGCTAAATAGGTGCCATTCTCTACTAAAGCCCTCTTCCAACATAAAAACCATGTAATCTGTGCTTTTCCATAACACTCACCTGTCTCTTCTCTGTCCCCTTTCTAACCTGGGCTTGCAGTAGGGTGTGAAGAGTTCCAACCCATCCCTCACTCAACCCCACCTTCCTGAAAAACTTGCTCTTCCTTGCTGCTGGGAGTCTTGCTTTTGGGAAATGAAAGGTGATACAACAGAGAAATTCTGGTACATAAGTGGCAGAAGCAGTGTTGTATTTTCTCATCCTAGGGATTTCTCTTACTGCTACCCAACAAGAAAATACAATCTTCCTGACTACCAACCAGCCAGAACAATTGAACATTTTGATTTTAGCTGTCCAGCTGGAATGTGTACCTTGCAACAGAGACAGGTCATTGTGCCCACGAGAGGCAGCCTCCAAGTCATCAATCACCATTACAATAAATAATTACAATTAACTGCTCTATGGCTGCATTCTGCCCCTGGCCTTCAGGGATCTGAAATATGCTATGCCACAGCTTTCCTTTTTGTTAAAACAGCTACTAACAATACCATGGTTTATTTACTGATCACAAGTTTGCAAGTGTCTTGACTCACACATTTGCATTTACAAATATTCTGCTGCCAGGTATTTGATAGAAAAGAAATAAAATTATAATGCTAGATGCAAGATTTCAATTAGCATTTATTTTACAGTTGTTGATTTTATTATACACTTGAAAATTTGCAGAGGTTGACAGTGAAGTGATATAGGAGTCCCACGTTAAAGATACCCATTTCTAAAAATCCCATCATCTTCTACTTCCTATTGCACTGCTCTTTTTGGTAATTATTCATTTGAAAGCTCTCTAAAGCACCATAACTTACTCAATCACCAGGGTTGAAATTCTGGCAGACACTTATTACTTCTTTTTTAAAAAACTGAATATTCCAGAAAATTTATGCTTAGAACAGTAGTTATCCTGACTTCTTCTTCTTTTTTTTTTCACATATCCATTTAATATTAAACTATTGATATTTAAGTGCTTAATCTTTACCTCACATACAGTCTTCTCAAACAAACATGGCTTTAAGAGCGAAATTTCACACAGGGCAAAACCCTTGCTGTCTACTGGCCACAGCAACTTGCATTGCAACATTCCATAACAAGGAAGATCCACAAAAATTAGCACTTGGGACTTTGTTTCATTTACACACATTTGCTGTGTTAAGTAATAAGCATTTATTAAAACTGGGAACTTAAGTCCCCAAAAGACTACAAAAATACTCTTAAAAACTAAAGAGGATTTCCAGCAAAAGTTCTTGCCTCCCATTAAAAAGGCCAGCAAACTAAACACTGGGCTCTTTGCTTTATAAGTAACAGATTAAAATTTATTCCAAGAGGTAGATTTAAATTTATACCCATTTTCGAAATACTTAGGGTAGTTTGATATTCATTCCCATTACAGAACTCCCTTGAATTCTGGCATACATTGACGATGCAAAAAGAACATAACAGCTTTGAAATTCACAGGCTTCAAAATCTAGTTGCTGTAGCCAGGGTTTCCTTCCTTATCTGCTCATATCCTAGCACTTCAAAAGGCTTCAGGATGGTTGTGTAACAGTCTGACAGACATGTTTGCATTCTGCACGTTTTCCACATGATTTACTGAGTATCTTTCTGGCACAGCATTTCTAGAAAAATGAAGAAAAGAGAAGAAGAAGAAGAAGAAGAAGAAGAAGGAAGAGAAAAAGAAACACTTGGAACAAAGAGAGCACAGCTAAATGATGGATGAACACTTTAAGAAAAGAATTGCAGATACTGCATCATGCTTCATTAAAAGACATTAAATAAAGATCACACAATCACAGAATTGTTAGGGTTGGAAAAGACCCATGGAGGTCTGCTAGTCCAGCCTTTCTGCTAAGTCAGCCTCGCCTAGAGCAGGTTACACAGGGATATATCCAGGTGCTTTGAGTGTCTCCAGCAAGGAAGGCTCCATGACCTCATTGGCCAGCCTGTTCCAGTGCTCTGCCACCCTCAATGTAAAGAAATTCTTACTCATATTGTGTTTTAGTTTATGGCCATTACTGCTTATCCTGTCACTGAGCACCACTGAAAAGAGTCTGGTATCATCTGCTGGGCACTGACCTTTAAAATATTTATATGTGCTGACAAGATCCCCTCAGTCTTTTCTTCCCTGGACTAAGAAGGCCCAGCTTCTGCAGTCTCTCCCCGTAAGAGAGGTGCTCCAGACCCTGAATCACTTCTATGGCTCTGCCAGACCCTTTCCAGTAGCTCCTGGTATTTCTTGCACCGAGGAGCCCAGAACTCAACCCAGCACTCCAGATGTAGCCTCACCAGGGCCAGGCAGAAGGGGAATCACAGCCCTTGACCTGCTGGCCATACTCTAGCTGCTGAACCCCAAGACAGCATTGGCCCTCCTGACTGCAAGGGTGAACTTGTCATCCACCACCCCAGGTCCTTCCCCAAGAGCTGCTTTCCAGCAGGTCAGCCCTCAACTGTGCTGGTACTTGGGGTTATTCCCACCCCAGGTGGGAATTCAACCCCAGGTTCAGGATTCTAAACTTGTCCTTGTTAAATTCCATTAGGTTTCTATATGCCCACTTCTCCAGACTAAGGTCCCTCTGAGTGGCAGAAAAGCCTTCGGGTGTGTCAGCCACTTCCTCCAGTTTTGTAACATCTGCAAACTGGCTTAGGGTTCATTCTATCCCTTCATCCATGTTGTTTGTAAAGAGATTGAATAGCTGGACCAACTATCGATACCTGCATAAAGTTACAGAAACAGACATTTCAAACCACATGTTAACCATGTAACATAGCTAATGTATACTTCCATTCTGCTTTCTTTCTCCCACTACTTCTTTCCAAGTGCTGTACCTCTCTTCTACTATCATGATCACAGCCAGGAGTGATGATAAAATAGTAAAAAGTTTCAATGGTACAATTTGAAATCAAAGTGCTAATACTGTATTTTTAAAGGATGATTTAATAAAAGGTCCAATAAAAAGTTCTCAAACATTAAAAATTCATATATGTCTTTAACTACTTCCCTCTTTTCACAAAATATAAGTATGATATACCCTTTGTTCCAAAACAGAAAAGGAAGAATAAAACCCTGGGCAATTAACCTCAAATTACTACAATAACAAATAATCGTAATAAATCCCCTTTGTCTGTAGTGTAAATATGCATGAAGTACCATTCATGTCTTGTCTACAGAATTAATTTTTCCCTTGGTCTCCCTTCTCAGAGGCTAGTTGGAACAGAAAACAGAATGAATACAGAACACTCATGATGAAAAATTACTTCAGAGGTTCTGCAAGCCTCCACTCAACCTGTGAACTAGTTTAGGTACCAAACAATGTAAATTATTTTGGGGAGGTAGAACAAGAGATTAAGTATTATGTTACATGGTCAGGTTTTCCTGATGCATCAGGTTTTCCTGATGCAAGCAAAAATCACTCAGTTGAAAGGTGGAACTACCCCCTGCTTTGTTTGCCAGATATATTTCTGACCAGAAAAAAACCACAGAGCCCCTAGAATAATTTTCTAGAGTGGGAAGATCTCTTGCCCGCCAGGGAAGGTGATTCAGAATCAAGATCTATCATCCAGAAAGGAAGAGAATCTAACTGAAAATATATTCTGACCAAAGCTTTTAGGAGCTTCAAAATTCAATGGTGAAGATAAAATTGCTTGGAACAGCATTTATTATCCTGTAGGAGACTAATTTTTTCCATATCTGGAGATAAAATCTCAAAAGTTTTTCGGATATTTTCCATAGAATACTAAATTTTTGATGCATTGAAAATGGTGGAAGCCAAGGAGAAAAGACAGTTGGAATATTAAGAGCTGTAAGTATACTTAGTTTTTTTAAAAAAACCTTGTTTTGCATTTTCATTATTACTAATGTAACTTGATAGATCATAGAGGACCAATGTCAACATACAGAACAGCAAAAAATTGCCATAATAGTTTCTTTTAAACCTTTCCATATTTCCCACATTCCCAATGCTAAATTTTGTAGTTAAATGATTCTTAGGATTCAAGAAGGCCAAAGCAGAAGACAATTCAAGAACTCTCTATACAGAAAAAGTAAGCTGTTATTCATGCTTTAAAAGAAAAGAAAATAGCATTTTTTCATTAAAGAAAAATGTATTTTGCTGCTGTGAAATGTCAAAGGTGCCAAGGAACATCTACCCAGAAAGCTTTTCAGTCAAAAATCTTTTGCCACGAGTTTCCTTGTTTTGAAACTTAAGAATTAAAAATTTAAGTGAAGTGGAATTATACACTTTGCATTTTTTACATGACAGAAGGAAACAGACATACATTCTAGTAACTATGCCTTGCAATTTCCTCTTGACATTCATTCATTCTCATTCTTCCTAGCTTTGCTTGAACTAAATAGGTTGATGTTTCATGTCTATTTCTCAGGAAATCAAAGGCCACAAAGTTCTGAAGTTTATTTAAATTAAGCCCTTTACTTCTTAAAATTTCAGGCAGATTATGTCTTCACTGATTTCACAGCTCTATGAAAAAGTATCTTTATGGCAGAAAAGTCCCAGTTTGGTTTTACTCCAGTAACAATCAAGAACAAAACAAACCTTTAGGAAAAAAATAGTAACAAAATACAAACTTTTAAACTTTTCCAGGCACGCTTGGAAAAAAATAAAACTGCCCTCTAGCATTCAGCAATAGCTATTCCCCTCAACTATGTAGCTCTAAAATGAGTGGTAGGTTGTGTAACACCTCCTTCCTGAATACTAAATAGTCTCAGCAGCAAAGTAAGTGAATATTGATCCACCTACTTTTAATTAATAATACTAATTGGATTTCAACCAAAATCCATTGCACTTTGTGCAACTGTAACTTGTGGAATAAGCTCTGCACATCTTACACTAAGGCTGATCCATCAGCTGCTGAACTGCAAACTGCATTTAGTCGCTGAAGTTAATGTGATTCTATGCAGGAGGAAATCTACATTAAACAACTATCAGGTCAATGGCGTGATTATCAGAGGTTCAGATCTATAGAAAGAAGGAAGACAGGCTATTACAGGTAAAAAGATAAAACCTCCCTGTTTGGCTGTGCTGTCCTTCTTTGACTGTGTCCTGACTCCATTTAGGTCAGTTAACAGTCCCAATTCAACTCAGGACATTATCTCAAATTCAGGCTTGGATTCATACCATGGTATCTCAGTTCTATTCTCATCCCCCTCACAAAGAGAAAAAATATTTACGAGCTCTTATTTTTTAAGTTCAGCCTATGCTAAATATGTAACATGCAGGCTCAGACACAGGCAGTCAATTGATCAAGGTCTCTCACAATCCACAATAGGCACCAACATTGTTTTTTTGCTATTTATGTTACATTCTGTGAAGAACACAGAAAAAACCCCCAAACCACTAGATAAGCTATTTATTAGTTAGAAAAAAATAGTAAAAAAGCCCTCTGTACTGACCAAAGCTGCATGGCCAATGAAGATTATTTCACTCCTTTGTGCAGGAGCCATCCTGCAAGTATTCCTACTCTTCTCAGGAACACTGAACCCTACTGTAGGCCACTTACTGCACTGCAGAATTTGCATTCCCCAAATCCTGTGACACCTCAATGCTGTGACAGAACAGATCTTCAAATTCCGTGCTGCCACTGTGCTCTTAACTCTAATCTGAACAGAACCCTGTGAGGGAGAAGTGTTCTATCTGTTCTACATAGGAAAGCTTCAGTTTATATCTGCCATAAGCATAGTATTACTTCTGCTTTGTCAGCAGTCTCCAAACACATCCATGCTGTCATGAACATCCATGATTCTCAAGAAACAGGAAATGCAATGGCAACTGGTTTGGTTTAGCCAGTGGATTCTCCTTCAGACCAAAGCTGGCTACTTTTGGAAGCCAGAGTAAAGAAAACAGAGGAGGTAAGTTCCTTCCCTTCATTCTACTACAATTTGTTAACTAATTCTGAAAGAGGATAGAAAAGTCAAATGCATTCTTGTGATTATGTTTTCACTTCCTTTAATACACTCCCCTTCCTAATGGTGTGGATACAAACTCCTCTTGCTCTTTATACTCCATTTTAAACCATTTTTGAGCGGAGGCATGGATTTGATTTTCAAGCACACACCATACCACTGAGCTTTCTGGCAAGCTTCCAGTCACAAAATAGCACTTGCTATCAGATACAAGATTTTTTTGTATGTATACCAGCATACACTGATAGACTGCATAAGATATAATTCCAATGACAATTATAAAGCACCCAGACTCCCCATGTCCTATGACATGATTTCCTATGATCCAGTTCTTCTATGAGCTTCATGTGACAACTAGAACATCCCTACCCCTCAGCTTCCTGCCTATAAAACTCCCTCATCCTTTGTCTCGCCTGGTTGTACTATAAATGCCTTGTGCCAGGAATTGTCCTTCAAAATGTACCCAGCACTGTGTATAGAGCAACAGCCCCAGCCACCTCTCCCTTCTGCTGAGGAAAAGGGCAGAAGCAATGTAAAGGAGAATTGTTTAGGTGTACCAGCCTCACAAACACCGTTTCAGAGCTTAATTTTCAAATGATGTGAGTACAAACATGATCTTACATTGGCATGTAAGACATAATTCATTAGTTACAGGGAAAATGGTATCTCATATACCTCAAAGGAGAGTTTTCTGCAATTCAGAAAATCCTGGTCCAGGAACCAATCTGATAGATAATATATGTCATGCACCAGCACAAAATTGAAAGAGAGGGTTTATCCCTTGATTGCAAATTCAGCAGTGAGTTTCTAAATTCATCCAATCTACCAATGAGAAAAGGTACAGTCTCCTTTGCACATAATCTTTGCAATAATACATTGTTTTTGCAAACTAAGAATCCCACAATACATAGCAAATAAAAACAGTTGTGCCAGCTCCTTTATACATTCATTTATACAGGTGCCAGCTGTGCCACCTCCTTTATACATTCATTTATCACTCTGAAAATTCTTAAAGCATGCAAACATCTTAAGAATTGGCAAAAACTTTCAGTAATAAATGAAAAGATTATACAGACCTTGCCATAAGGAGTGTCAACATATTTTTCTGTTCTTCCTTCTAAGATATCCGGATCATCCAGGCCAGTTCCACCAATAATTCCAATCTTACACAGAAAGTACATATTAGTCTTCTTGCAATTCACATTTAACTGCATGCTTGAAAAACTAACCAGGAAGCTACAAAATGTATCTTCTTCTCAGGATGAGGATAGACAACAGATCAACAAATCATAATATGCTCACCACACTTTTCCAGAATGCAAATCTCAAATACCTGATTTTAAACAACTGTATTTAGCTTGCCAATTTCTTACCCCATGATTCTCCTCTTTAAGTACCAAATTAGAAAAAGCTATGAAAAAAATGCACAAAGATGTGCCATTAAACATTTATTTCCAATATATAAATTAAGACTATTTGGGAATACCTGTAATGAGTGAGAAATGCATGTAGAAAGCCCATTAAAACAAATGGTTTTTGTTTATATAGACAAAAAGTCTTACATATAACCACCATACTGAATATCAGGCTGTCATAGTTTTAGCCCAGCTGGAAGTTAAGCACCACACAGTCACTTGCTCAAACCCCTCTTCTTTCCTCCTGCACTCTGGTGGAACAGGGAGTGGAATCAAAGTAAAACTTGTATGTTGATATAAGAAAAGCTTAATGACTGAAAATAAAGTAAAACATTATAACAAGGGTAAATTATGTAATAATAATAAAAAAGGGAAAAACTAGCGATGCACAATACAATTGCTCTGCACCCACTGACTAATGCCAGATCCTATCCCCAAATCCGGAATGGTCACCCTCTGGGTAACTCCCTCAGTTTATATAGTGGGCATGACATTCCATGGTGTAGAATATCCCTTCAATCAGTTTAGGTCACCTGTCCCAGCTATGCTCCTTCTCAGTTTTGTTTGCGTACCCCCTCCACTCCCTCCCTGGCACAGCATGAGACAGGGAAAAAAGAAGTCCTTGATTTAGGATTAACATGACTCAGCAAAACCCAAAATATCAGTGTGTTATCAACACCAATCTCATTCAGAATCCAAAATAGAGCACTGGAACAGCGACTGAGGGGAAATTTTTACTATAGCCATAACCAGGACACAGGCATTTCTCTACGGTATTACACCTCCAAAAGAAACAAAACTTGGTGGGGAAAAAAAAAAAAAATTAGTTTTTTGAGCTGACTCAACAAAATCTAAGTTTTCCCATTTAAAATCCCATTTGTGTTTTTATTTGCCTGTGATTGCATATTCCAGCTAAGAAAAATGCATCTGATTTTTCTTGTTTCTAGTTCATCATTGAAAAGTAACTTGTCTTTTGTCTCTCAAGGGATAATTAGATTTTCAATCAAGTGAAGATCTTTCTGGAATTCAGAACACTTGTAACTCTTCGGACTGAATTGTTATTGTCAAGTTTTTCGCAACAGAAAGCTTAGCAATTAATTAACTTAAAAGTTATGTCACCATGTATCACACATAGAGAAAAAGAGTGCCTCTTTTTTTTTCTTCAGTGTGATCAGTTGTTGCAAAGTTTGTATCACTTTCAAGTTGAATACATATCATGACTGATTTGCTTCAAAATCTGAAACCATGACTGATTTGCTTCAAAATCTGAACCTTTGTGACATAACTTATTATCCTGACTGAAAACTTTCCAAGTAAAACTTCCAGACTCCAACATACAACCCCTCCTGCCACAACACACAGAGAGCTGTTTCTTACTCCAGCTTTTTCTTACTTTCACACTCGTAGAGATCCCATCTGTTCAACCACTGTATTAGCTGGCTCATTAAGCGCTTCTTTTCAGCAGCGAGAGGCCCTGTGGTCTTGGTTACGAACACCTCTTTAACAAAGCTTTCCACAGCCGGCGGCGCAAACGCGGGTACATGAAATGGTTACAATCGGCCTCCCCCTTCCTTCTGCTACCCCCCTGTGGAGCACGCGGAGAAGCGCAAAGGAAAACAGCAGCGCCGACCCACGCACTCCGACCGGGAATACACACACGAGCTCAAGGGAAGACACAGACCACTGTCTGCAGGAATATTGATGGGTCTGTTCCCGTGTCACTCGTGCTGCTTAGCTACCGCAAAGGTTCTGACGTGGATTGCTCATGAAAATCCTGAAAACTACGTACAGTTTAGGATGAATAACAAATTGCCTTAAGAATTGTGAAAGATCTGCAACAGGAACAACCACAAAACTCAAAATCCAGAAAAGACTATCCTTAACAATGTTCATGCATATATTCAGTAAACACTGATGATTGCTACATTGCCAGAGGACAGGACCAAAATGGCGCCTTTCTCTTTTTTTTTCAATCTAGGAGGGGAAAAAAAAGGTTCCTTCAGTCCCTTTACTGGTTTTAGCTGGGTATAACACTAGTGGCCTATGACTTAGGATACAAAAGGGAACTGAACTTTTACCTCTAGCAAAGTGAAAGTTGTTGGGACTGAGGAAAAATGTGCAGTGCGGGAGAGAGTAGCACAGATGCACAACATGAAAGTTACTTTGGAAATGCAGTGCTTTAAGGTTATTATAAACACACAGATCGATTACAGTAACAGACTGTTCCTGTACAGAAAGCAGCATGCCCGGCCTCTGGCAGCATAGGCCTGGTGTGGTCGCTCTCACATTTGCTCTCAGGCTCCATAACTCAGGGGCTGCAGCAGCATCAATATGTACTTTGGCTGCACTGTTCGGTACCTGCCCAGGATTCTACACCAATAGCTCTGCTGTCAGAAATTGCAGGCTGCAACGAGCTTGCAAAACATTCACAGCTCCCACGGTGCAGAACCCAAAGCACAGATGACCCAGACTATGTTGAGCTTGTTGCGCTTTCTTACCCACTGCAAACTTACCGCAGTGGCAGTCAGGCTACCTGAGGCAACCCTGGCTAGAGAAATGCTGGGCTCACTTATAATTCACTGGAGAGCTACTTCAGTGGAAGGAAAGTTAGGTAGCAGAGATTTCTGAAGTAGCTGCTTCTCCAGCCATGTAATGTCAGCTTGGAGCTAGCAGCTCTAACCCTAAAATTAATTTTTCCTGACAGTTATTTTTCCTCTAGCTTATATGATCTCCAGAAATACTATTTGTATCTGGGAACTAAACATAAAAATCTCATTCCATACTAAATTCGGCTTTCCAAATCTCCTAGTGAATTATCAAAACGAATGCAAATGCTCTAGGCTCAGTGGGAGAAATCCTGGCTCCGGCCAGGACAGGATTAATTTTTGCAGTAGTCTGGGAGGGCCATGACTAGGACCTGGACGTTATTCTACATGACCTAGTATCATTTTCCAAAAACAGGGGAAGGGGCCTGGGGTCAGGGTAGCATGACAATTGAGTATTTTTGGGCTGTGCATAGTGGTGAGCAGTTGCATATTAGCTGCTCACCTCTCCCAATTATATAGCTGTTATTACTGTTTTTCTTATCTTATTGTTGTTTCTAGTAAATTGTTCTTATCTCAACCCATGATCTTCACCTTTTGTGCCTTCAACTCTCCTCTCATTCTGCTGCAGGGGATGGGATGATGTGTGGAGTGACTTCAGTGGGAACACTGAATTGGAGAGCGTCATGTCTAAACCACAACACCCCGGTGAGGGGTGCTGACTTCTATTCCCAGCTGCCAGCCCAGGAGCTGAACACATGGGAAGGCAGAGAGGATGTGACCAAGGAAGAAGAGTTTCACCTTTCCTCAAAAGCAAGAGAACTGACCTCACACCTAGGAATGACTTCAAGAATGGAAAGATGTAAGACTGTATTCTCCATTCCAGACTTTGCATCCTACAAAGGGACACAAAGGATATAACTTGTAAAATTTAATGGAGCCTGTATCAAAGGCAATCTGGAATTAAATCTCAAGCAAAATGGCATTACAATACAGTGAATCTCAAACAGTGGAGTGAAGAGCAACAGAAGTGAAACCTAACAAAAAGTTATCACAACAGTAACTACAAAAATCAAACCCATTTCTCATCAAAGTCCAAGAAACAATCACACTAACGGGTGTATGCCTTTCTTCATGTGGTGTTTGATGAACTTCTCAAAGGTTTAAGTGAAAGGCATAGTGGTATCTCTGTAGTGACTGCCTACACTTGTTCACCTGCGGGTCTTAAACTAGTACATATCATGATCATCTATGGGGCTTTTTGACAACTAACCACACACAAATCCTTCTGTATTCTTCTCTGTATTTTGGGGATACTGAGAAAGGGATGAGGATAGCATTACAAATAATTTTGCTTAAAGAAGACAAACATCAAGCTAAGTATAAGTTGTACTTTAGAGAATAAATCTGTACACTGAAGACAGGTTCTAACTGTTTTCTACATCCAAAAGGACTGGGATTTTTTACTTCATGGCAGAAAAATAATGCACAGTATGTGAAAACTCAAATTTCAGCCTGAGTACCGGCCTGCTCACCTCTGGTGCCATCACCGCTCTAAGCAGCTCTTCAAACCCACAAGAAATTAGTCTTAAGAGAGGAAGTTTTGCATTGCTTACTTCTACCAAAGCTTAGAGCTCCGTGCACGTTTAAAAACAGAGCCCAGAGCTACAGACCCGCCACGATTCCTCTCAGTGACAAACCAACACACCGCACGTGGGTCAGATAACCGGGAAAGGCGATTTCTCCGAATTAAAAAAAAAAGAAAAAAGAAAAGAAAAGAAAAAGAAAAAAGAAAAGTCCCTTCCGGGACGGTCGCGGGCGCCCCAGCACGGGCCTTGGCGAGGGAGC